GTTGCTTGGGACACAGTCTAGTCAGGTTTTGACTATCTCCAAAGCTGGTTCTCCCAGCGTCTCTCCTGACCACATATGCTACAGTCCCTTAAATGTAGAAGTTATTGAAAAACAAACTTTGCAGCTTCTTTTCAAAGAATTCAAAGAAACTATTTTTATAATTGTCTAATTTAACATATTTTCCCCACCCAGAATAGGAAATTCAAAAAAAAAAAAACCCTTCTCCCTACAATGACTGTATTTTTAACATCATTCAATTTTTCAATTAAATTTCGTGATTCAAATTTTTAAAGTTGTTACGTAAATTCCCATTCAGGTGTGAGCATCCTAAAAGAAAATCAGCATCCATCTAGTATCATGCACCAACAGCAGTTCAGTGCAACACCTAATACCACATATTGCCAGGACAGAGACTGTCAGTCTACTCAACTCTTGCAGATGACGTAATGAGTTTTGTAAACGCCTTTCATACTTAAGACTCCAGCATAAGGACACCATTTGATGAAGCAGAACACATCACAGCCTGTGGTGTCTTTCCACTGCCCATCAATTCTTCTTTCTCTTTCCAGCTCCTTCCAAAAGCTGTCTCAATTCTGCATAGTGTTTGGCATGTTTTATAACCACGAAAACTCTACAGTAGCTCACAGCACTGACTCCTCATAAACATGAATCGTCAACTATTTGGTGTTTCCAAAACACAAGCAAACTAAATATGCAGTGATAGCACTCGACTGAATATCGTTACTGGTTTACGTATAGAGCGCACTGCAATAGATTAGAACGTACTTTAAAAAACAGAAATTCTTGAAACAACGTGGTTTTGATCTTCCAAATCATCACCGTAGGGGACTGTTTTCTGGAAGAGTTCACTACTGACCTGGTGATACTGAGTCCGGCAGATGCAAGTTGCCACCTCATAAATTAAATTTCTTTCTCATTTATTCTGAGATAGAAAGACTTTCCCTTTTCTGCCTATTTCTCATTCAATTTTGCATCTGAAGAGATCAAGGAACTTGATCAGGTATTTCAGATCATTTGGTCTGGAACTTCCATTCCCATTACTTGACCCAGTACAGCAGCTGTCCTATAATTGCAATGGACATAACACTTGCAAACACACAGAGAGATCTATTTCAATCAGTTACTATTTTACACAGAAAACCATAAAGTTGTCACAATTCAACAGTTCAAAAAAAAAAACCTTGCCATCATTTTGTAGTTGTTCAATGGATAACAGAAAAGAACTGAAAGGGCTCAAGTACAGGCATGAGGGAAGAAGCAATTGCATCATTAAAACACACCAGCCTAGTTAATTGCTGGTAATGGCTATGACCGATGACAGTAGAAAGCACTGAATGACGTTAGGTAAGAGGATATTCTCTCTGTAAGTCATAATTGTCTAAGATTAGCAGTTTAGTCAATTTGTACTTATTTGGGACAGTTGGTACTGCTTCTTCCAGGACACTGAACGGTTGGATAAAGCTGTCTGTGAGAACCCTCCATGCGTTCTGCGTTCTCCCCATGTTGGTAGGAGGGCGGCGGCGGGGGGGGGGGGGGGGGGGGGGGGGGGTGGAAATAGATTTAATACACGATTTTCCTTTCTTGAGCTCTGCCTCCTCATCTTAGGGACAATTTGTACATACACAGACACATGAACATGGATTTGCCCAGTGCTCTACTGCCTAAGTATCAATTTTTCAGTAAGATTTTAATTCACTGAATCCTATGCTTGTGTAAATACCATCTAAAATGCAGATGTGCACCTTTGGCAGACTGATTCAGCTTCCACCACAGCCACTTTAAGCGTCCCATAAGTCATTCTGTAGCTAGAGCTATCGATACAGATTGCCTGGAGGTCAACACTAACAAGTTACGGCTGATGCAGAGCAGAATGCATAAGCACTCAGTCACAAAGAAAGGGATCGTTGAACTAAATCTATTTGGATGTCACCTACCTCACATCAGCCTGTTTTCAAGAACATTTCTAGAGAAACGCATTCACTTTGTCTGTACTTGTCACAGACAATTCCCAGTTGTTCCCACTCTGGGACTTTTTTTTTTTTTTTTTGCTAAGGTCATGAAGGCCATTCAGTTTGATCTCTCACTCTGCTAAATGCATATCATCCAAATTTCCAAAAGATTTACAGCCTACTCAGGCCACCCTTGTCTCAAAGGGCAAGAGAGTGTATCAGGAATAATGCTTAATATGAGCTGGAAGCCTTTATTTCTAATGCAGCACATAACCATCCCTGACTGCATGGTACCACAAAAGAGGAAATCGAGGGTAGCAAGCAATGAACCAAACACACATCTCCCTCCGTTGATGTCTCCAAGCAGCAGGCTAAACAACAGTTCCTAAAGCCCTTACGTAAGCTCAGGGCTCTTATTCAGAGCTGTGAGCCTTAGAGCCAGGAAACAAGAGTCAGCGTGAAACCATGGTGCAGATGGGGTCCTCTCCCGTTCTCAACATCCTCGTCTCACTTACATAGCCCCATTCCACTGAGCACAGCCTGGTTATTTTCACCACAAGGTCCATTAAACCCCTTAAGTGAGAAAAAAACCTACTCCTTTGTAGCTATGCTTGTGTGAATCATGGCTACAAAACCCTCAAGCCATGACAAAATGCCACGACTGAATCTAGCCTCTCTGGGTCTGAGGCACCTGGCCCTGAGATATGAAACCCTGAGAACTTCCCTGGGCTCAAGTCTTCCTGCCACCATGGATTTCTGGGGCTCTTCTGCAGCATATTTCTAAAGAAACACAGATGCTTACCAGCACCACAGAGCAGCTGTGCCACTTACAAAACTCACCCCTCTATTTCATGCCAGTTATCCTCTCCCAAGACATGCTCTGGGTGTCCCCCTTTTGCCACTAAACTCCCTAGGCAGTAGATTAAAGATCATGGCATCAGTCTTGTGTGGAGAGCAGTACTGAGGTTTGGCTCAGCTGATCAATACAAGCAGAGGTAAGAGAAGGGCAGGTTAAAGAAGGCAGCCCTACCTCCTCTTTTCTATCTCCTCTCTTTTTTGATCAGCAAAAGCTCCTTGACAAGTTTCATAAAATTATGCCCATAGAAGGAGGGCTAAGTACCGCTCTACTAACAACAGGAGTCCATAGCAGCTCCTTCCTTTACGGGGAAGCTGGACAGAAAGTCAACCAAAACAGAGTCATTACAACTGAATGGTGCAACCATTTTAATCCCATCCATCCCCTCCAGGACATACTCCTGGCTGCTCTAAAATGGGCAGAAGGGTTCTTTAGGAAGCGCTACACTGCTGCTCCTAGGATCGGGATACAGGGAGGCAACTCTGCCCCCAGGACAGCCAGGTGCCTTGCTTTGCTGCTTGTCTCACAAAAGCTGTACCCTACAATAGAGCTCATTTGTACTGGATTAATGTAATCAAAGGCACCCTGCTGTCTGGTCACTGACCTATCTGTAAACAACAGATGACATGATGCCATGAGCTTCTATTATATATAATTACCCACTGAGATGTGACCATTGTAATAGAAACAAAACCATGCACTTCACCTGCGGCTGTTAGTCTATTTTCCACCGATAAACAAAGCTCATAAGCACATCGGCTTTCAGCTCCGTTTCCTTCTCAACTTCCTTCATTGCTCCTTGTGTTTCCTCCAAGCAGGTTTGCGCTCCTTTCCCTCCCAGCCGCACAGGGAAGCAACCCTTCCTTTAGATCCCACTTACGCCCCTCTCTCTTCATTCAATCTTTCTATACCTCAACTCTGTCTCATCTGCCTATACCAAGGTGAAAGAAGCCTGTTGACCAAACGTATCATCCCGGCCTTGGATTGTACTCGCTGCGATAGAGACCACAGGGACAGGCTCCCACCTGATGTCTTTTTTTTTTTTTTTTTTTTTTTTTTAAGAATCCAGTGAACTACAACTGCAGCTGCTGCTACAAGTCAGTAGCTAATACACACTTATCTCTGATGTGCTTAGTAATTCAGAAGCTGATGGGACATGATATTCATGCAAAAGTTCCAGATAAGTTTGCTTTTACCATTTGGCAATGAAACAGAAGCCAATTGACACTTCCAAATTACAAGGTCTTCATATGACTAGTGGCTTATTTGTCTTGGCCTTGTTTTGACTACCAAACTCAAGGTCTGTATCACCAAAATAGAAAAAAAATTCTTTCCCTTTTTCTTCTAATTCCTATCAGAAGCCTGATGCAAGTCCTCCACAGAAGAAGAAAGACCAAGTCCTATTAGCATCAGATCACCCTTCCTGCTATTAATTACAAACACTCTTATGAAATATGACAAGACCGAAATACACATGGGTTAAGTTAAGCATTGTCCAAATTACTGCTTTGTGTTTGAACAGCTTAGATTCTGTAATCCTGCAGCAGCAAACTCTTATATTAATCGCTAAACAACAGCTCACATACAGATAAAAGTATTTGATGTCATCATCCGGCTCTTGCTAACACACAACAAGGCACAGCAACCGAAGCATGCAATGAATCGGCTCTTGCCGAATAAAGTTCAGTGTCAACATAAAGCATCTTCTTTTATGTAGCTGGTTTTTGACTTGCAAGCAGCTCTCTGCTTCGGAAACACTTTAGACAACACGGATTAGAGCTTATTGTCTAAAACGTTACATGAGAAACTGCATTAAAGAAAAAGCCAACTTTCAGCATGTGTGACTGCAGACTCTATTTTTAAGAACCCCTTCGGAAGAGGTTACTGGAAATATTTTAAAAGTCGTTTAAGTACAGATTTCCAAGACAGGTTCAATTCCTTATCTTGTCTGAACCAGCAGAGCCGTGTTTCCTCCTAGACCGCGCAACACCCGCAGGTATTCGGCCCCGTTTCTGTTCTGGGCGCCTGTTGGCTTTGGACGTCCTCCCTGGCTGTTCCTTAGGAGCTGCTGGGAACGAGCGGTGAATTGCGACGACAGTCAAACCATGCATTTAGCTACCTGAATTCTTCAACCCTTCTGTGAAGGAAGATGAGTCACACCGACTCCGACTTACCCCAGCATATCCCCGATTTAAGAACTGACTGTGGGGAGGTTGTCACTGCCTAGCAGAGAAAGGCAATGCTTTATTAACGCCCAGTGTAAAGGCTTGCAAGAGGTACGGAAAGGGAGGCGAGCGAGAAGCGGCCCGCTAGTATGGCGCGCTGCCGACAGGGACGGCTGGCACGGGCTGGGGCCAGGCTGCAGCGAGCAGACAGCCAGCAGCAGCGACCACATCGCATCCAGCGGCGAGCGCAGCGCCCCCAGCAGCCGCGGCGCGGCCCCGCCGAGGGACTCAGGCCGGCCCCGGCCCCCC